AGGTGTGCACTAGCACGCCCTGCCAAAAACATAAGAAAAGAATGAAAATACAAAGAAATACAGTGAAGTGCCAACATCTGTCTTTCCCTCTGCTTCCTGGCTATAGACGTGATGTCACACCCACCTCAGGCGGCTGTGACTTTGCTGCTATGAGAGAATACACTCTTGGACTGTGAGCCAAACAGTCTCTTCTTTCATCAAACTGCCTGTGCCAGGTATCTTTTCTTCCTGTCACAGCAAGAAGAAAAATAACAAACACAGGGACCCTAAAGCTCTCTCCCTGTTGAAAGAAGGGACCAGAAATGTGACAGAAAAATAACTGGGCTACTGTGGACACCCTAGAAAGGTGATAACTGAACAAGCAAGGACACCCTAGAAAAGAGACAAGTGAAGAGAAAATGAACCTGTCCAAAAAAAAAAAAAAAAGTTCTTCAATACGTATAAAGGCAGAATAAAGAAAACCTCGTTCAAGATCATGTCTCCAAATTAGGAACCACGACAGCTGATTTCCAGTGCAGAGAAGAGGGAGAGTTCAACCCTGAGGATGGCACAGATGGGGGAACTTAGAGTCACCGGCGAAGAGTAAGGTCAGTGGATGGAAAATTACCAAGAGGAAATAGGAAAGGTAAGAGGGAGTCTGGTTAAACTGACCTGACAGGATTCTTACCGAAGACACGCCAGCACGAACAAGCACCACCTGGGGAATAAAAAAGCTTGATCGTGGGAGCAATCAGATAATGAAGACAAAGGGTTCTAGCTAAATGACCGTGGCAGAGTTCTTTGCTAAAACTGGATCTTACAAGGAAATACACAGACGGGCCTAGGATAGAGTTCAAACTAAAAAGACTGTCTAAACTTTGAACATGTAGAACAAGTAGAAAACCGTCAAGTAAGAAACAGGAAAACCCCTTTGTTGTAAGGGGGCGGCTTCACTGATGTCCACTAAAGGTCAGTACTAAATTCCTCTCAGTCCACAAATGATCATGAGGCTGAGGAGAGAAAACCTCCCACTGGCTTTCTCCCACTCCCCGGCTCCTCTAGCTCTACGTGGTCCCAGACTAGAGCTGACTGGAGCCTCAGCATCTATGACAACTCCTCTTCAAAGTCATGTATGCACTGCTGTGACCACAGCTCCTGCGGGAAACAACTGAGGGGCGTGGGGTGGGATTTGTGGCTCATAACCACCATTAACTCCAGCTCCAGGGAATCTGATGCCCTCTTCTGGCCTCTAAGGGTGTCTTCATTCGGGTGCACATACCTATACACAGATAGGCAAGCAAGCACTCATGCAGGCACGCACATAATTAAAAATAAATCTTTTTTAACAAAACAAAAGTAAATAAAAGCACGAGCCAAAACAAACCTCTTTTCTTTATAAGGTGATTCTCTCAGACACTTGTTATAGTAAAGAAAAGCTAACACAGAAAAAAATGAGAACGGGGTCAAATAGATCCTCAACCAAGCCAACAGTTGTGTATCAGAGAAGAGCATATTTTAAGAGGAAGACCAATGGTATAAAGTATAACAGCACAGGCTTTCAATCTAGACAGACCTAAGTTTGATTTCCTAGCTCTGCCCTTCACTGTGCGGCCTTGCACAAATCACTTCATCTATCTAAGATTCCATTTTTTCACCTGAGAAAATACAACCATAAGAAAGCAAATCTCACAGCTGCCAGGAGACACAAGTGAACCACAGCAGATGGAGAACAGGAGAACCGACAGAGACAGGCACCACCCGCCTTGGTGTCCCAGTGAGCAGAGAGCGGTTGCTGAAGGACACGATCAAAAGCACACTCGTTCCGGGATCTCTGGCCCGTCCCTGGCAGGCAGCAGAGACCGGAGTGTTCCACTTGCGCAGCAGGCCTTCGAGAGAACACTCTCGTTGAAGGAAGGCGAAGTGTCCACTGTTGAGAGACAATCCTCCAGGAGCCCAGCACACTCTCACGTGGTGTGGCTGGAAAGAGCCTGCCTCGTACCTGTGCCTCTTACCGGTGCCTCTTCTCACATTGGGCTTATAACAAGCAACGTTGAAGGATGACAATTTACTGCTTCCTTTATAAGCCACAGACTCCCCCCACCCCCCAAGCTCCGTGCTTCTCAGCTATGACTCGGACCATCTGTCTGCGGAGCATCCATCTGGGCCCATCACGCTGCCCCTGCAGGGCTTGAAGGCAAGAACTCAGGCAAATATGCTGATGTTCCTGCGACTTGCTCTGCCAGAGCAATGAAGTCCTAGGTCCCTAACCTCTAAGTCTTGTGCCTTCTACCGATTACCGCAAACCAACGGCAAGTTCAGTTATTAGCTCACAAACTAGAAAGAACCAGAGCTGCTGGTATATGCATGGTGTGAGAGCCATGTGCAGAACTGGCAAAGCCTACAATCAATGGGGATTCATATAGTACCTTGTACAAACAAGGATAGATAGATAGATAGATAGATAGATAGATAGATAGATAGATAGATAGATA